GTCTTGACGTGTATGCGAGCAATCTGCTATCACATGAGAGCATGGATATTTCAGAGCTTGAAAAAACCCGCAGTCGCACGTTGTGTCCCTTAGATTTACTCTTAACGACACAGCTTCAATCCCTTGAAGAGGTCGTGGTAACTCTGTGACACGAAACATTTCATGCCTTCTAAAGAAGCTTGTTACAGACATTCCATTTGATGCAACAATTTTTTTCTGTAGATCTGCAACTAATCTAGGGTGATAGACATGACCGCCTTGCATCCAGGTTTGAGCTTGTCCCCCGAGCTTCGCAAAAAACTCCCCCAAACAAAAATATGTAGTTTTCACTAAAGCCGCTACAGGTAAATGACGTGCACCCTTTAAGGTTGAATTGATTGCCTCAGCCAAGTTAGTCGTCATGTGTCCATATCGATATCCACCATCATATGTGTTCGTCCACATTTCTTTATCGATGAGGCTGATGTAATCGTATCCTTCCTCGTTCTTCGCCCGCAAATCTTAAAGCATTGATTCAAACGTTCGAGGAAGTAGTTCGTAACCTGATCAAAAAATGTATAACTTACTAACTTGCTTTCATTTACCCATGCGCACAATTAATTGACGCTCATCATTCTTCTTGTACCTTCCATGATAGTTCGCAGCAATGTGTCGGAGACAATACCTATGTTAGACAAAGGGTGGTTGCCACATTGGACCCAAAGACTCCATTGCTGCTTTGATCCCAGCTCCGCGATCTGAAATAACATAGATTTTTCCCCTCGTGATAACATGTGCACGCAAATTTCGGAGGAAAAAACCCCCAAGAATTTGTATCTTCTCTTTCGACAAGAGCAAAAGCAACTGGAAGAATGTTGCGATTGCCATTTTGGACAACTGCCAATAATAAAACTTGCTTGTATTTTCCATACAAGAAAGTCCTATCGATCTGGACCACAAGCTTGCAGTATTTGGCAGCATTAACGCACTGTGGGTAACTCCAAAAAACCTGGTAGAATTGGCATCGATCGCGAAGAACTCGATCATTATGGTATGCATAGGAGGTTTCGAAGTCCACAATTATCCCAAGATTCAACGTCTGCACCAGCCTAAACCAACTTGGAAGTTCGTTGTAAGATGCATCTCATTCGCCATGAAGTTTGACAATGGCATTTTGTTTTGCCAACCAAGCTTTTTTATAGGAGACGGTGTACCCATACTGCGATTGTATAGCTGAAATCAACACTGCAACAACTATATGAGAGCTTGCTTTTACCATGGGCATGATGGCTTGGCATACCACTTCAGAGTCCAAGTTGGGATGATCTTGGTTGACACCTCCAACACAACATGTGTGAGGACCGTTGTATAATGTTAGTTCCCATATGTTGTTTTTCCTCTTCATTTTCGATACGCGAACCATCCAATTGCATCCGTTTTCACGTCGGGCACAGTAGCATACATATTTTTTTGTCGTCGATCGGTTGACTCTGGACTGAACAGAATTACAGATATTGTAATTTTTTATAGCCATCATCGCTTCTTCTTTGCTTGAAAACTCCATGCCTAAAGATAACTCACCATTATTTATTGATGAGTAATATCCATAGTCACCAAGATGAGGCATATCCGTAAATTTTGGCCCGTACATTGCACCATAATCAGCTTCATACATGTGTGCAGGAGGGTCAGTTTGTGCCACATTTCCTGGAACTTCATCATCATCGGAGTTGAATTGCGGTGATTCTGGGTGAATGAATAGTCTAGTCTCAGCACCATCCGCACCAGGCTCACGAAGCGGTTCTTCTGGTGGAGATGATGGTTCCTCCATGCTCTCTACATTTAGGTCGAAGAACCTACTACTTGCACGCCTTCCCCTTGAACTGGAAGACATATCGACATTGAGATCGAAAAAGCTCGCAGTCGAATGCCTCCCCCTGGAGCTTGAAGCCATTGTTTCAAATGGAAACTGCACAGATGGTTGCGCTGATGGCATCTCCATATGGTCAAAGAAATTTGCAGATGAATGTCTTCCCCTTGAACTGGACGCGGTGTTGCCATACGGATTGTTCATGGACCCACCTCGGTACATATCGTAAGGAGTTGCGGATGAATGTCTCCTCATTATGGCATTAAAATCATTACACATTACTGTAGTCGGACTGTCAACTTGTTCAGCCAGCCCATAGTGTGAGCTTAAAGATTGACCCCGAACAACACACACTTGAACAAAATGTGCGTACATCTCAATAATGGCGTCTGAATAATTACTTTGAGCTTCAACCATTATTTGAACATCATCATTATTCGAAAGTTCGAACGCTGTATAAGTTAGTGGTAACAATGATATTGAAAATCTGTACTACAACGACGACATTCTTCTGTTACTTCCAACATGAATCTTCCTCAAAATCTTCGTTATCAGCTCCTTAAGAGTTATGTTTCTCTTGAATGATATTTTAAAATACTCATTTGATACGAAAACAACGCCAGTTTCATCTTCTCGAATTTCACCATCATAATAAACAATAGCTGAAAGTCACGCCATTCTTTGAGTTTAAAAGTACGTCAATATTATATCTGCAAAAAAATAACTTAAACAAACCTGATTAAATAAATTATATATGAACGAAAATATAACGCAAAATTTTTTTTACACATCAACGTAAATAATTTAAATAATATAATTTTATATTCTTACTTGCATCGCAAAACTATTTCGACGTATGCTCCCGCTTTTCAATTTTACAAACATAAAAATTAATTAAAAATAATTAGTATAATATTTTTTCAAATAATGATAATAAAAAATAAGTATAATTAAAAAATTATAACAAAATTACCTTATAACGAAAAATCGCACGAACTTCTAAATCAAATATAAGAAGATTGCCAGAATTATTACTCGTTGACGGAATTGTTGTATTAATTTATAAGAGAGGAGAGATGCGAGAACCGAAGGTATTTATAAACATATAAGGCGCGATACCTGCACCGCGTTATATGTAATTATTATATAGCGCAGATCAGGGATTGCGTTAAATATAATTTTGGTACGACGTATAGCGCGGCCCCTGATCCACGCTATACCCCTACGTGGCGTATATCATGGAGCAGGGGGGGCGCTATACCCCTACGTGGCGTATAGCGCGGAGCAGGGGCGCGCTATACCCCATGTGTAACCCAGTCAGCGTATAGCGCGGTACAGGGGCGCGCTATACTCCACGTGGCGGCAAATCAACATATAATGCGGTTCAGGGGACATACTTTACTGCTACAGGTGCTAGATCTGGAAATATAATTTGACCGGTGTTAAATCAATATATATACTGATCACCAGTGATTTTTGAGGAAAATCACCCTGTTTAACACCGTTTTTTTTAACTTTGTCGTATTTACCCAACTCTACTGTGTTAATGGTATTTTTCTTTTTAAAAAAAATTGTGTTAATGGTAGTACTCATTTAACATTTTAGTGATGGAAATAAATATTATTCTTTTAGTAGTTTTTAATTTAATCAGATATATTTGTAGAGTGTGAAAATGGTAAATTATACAATTGATTATTCAACTTTTATAATATTTTCATTTTAATCATTAATTTTTGTTGATATTTAGTCCTTCAATCCTCAAATATATGATATCTAGTCAAATAAAGCTTACTTTTATACATCATGCTAAAATTCAATTCAACTCATCTTCAACATCACATTAGTCTTTTTTTATCAACTAACTTTATCGTCTGCTACCAAATTTATGATCAACTTATTATATTTTTTGAATCATAGTATCTATTTAACTTCGTTAAGGACAATCATATTTCTGAAAATTTTAAATTTTTAGAAATATATTTTTAAAATTTTATATTAATAATATAATTATATACTCTTAAATTTTTAATATAATTCTTAATTATATGTATTTTAATATAACATTTCACATTTGTTTAATTATAATAATATTTATATTTTATACATTAAACCACAAAATCAGTAATAATTAACTTATAGTATAGAAACAATCTTCTCCTTGTTATTCTTTACATATTTGTATTTTATGTATATATCTTGATATGTTGAGTGTATTCATATGTCCTTTATTATATTTATATTTTGTTTTAACTATTTTTCTTATGCCAAACACCTAGGTTTAGGTCAGCAAACGAATCGAACGAATATTAACGAGAGTATGTTCATGTTCGTTCGTTTAACTTTAACCGAACAAACGAACGAATACGAACAACTAAATCAACAAAATTTATGGTTCGTGTTCGTTCATCAATAAATATAGCTTGTTTGTGTTCGTTCGTGTTCGTTCTTTAAGATGATAAACAAACATAAGCGAACGAATGTAAATTAATGTAAACAAACATAAACAAACGAACATAAAATTAATTAAGTTTATATTTGAGAAGAAGTTTTTATTTCCAAATAATTTTAAGATTTATATTTTCTTTAATTGATTTGAGTATTTTCTATTTGTGTTTAAAATTAATTGAGTTTTAAAATATTCATGGGTTTAAGGTTATAATTTATTAGATTTTAATATTTTAAACGGGTCTAAGGATTGAGTTGAATATAAATAAACGAACATAAAAGAACAAACATAAATGAATGGACATAGATAAACGTAACTGAACGAAAAAAAATGAACGAATTATTGAATTTTAAATTAAAAAATATTATAAATACTTATTAAATTAAAAAAAACCAATAATAATTTTAAATTTTATTTATTTATCGAATTTTAAATACAAAATATTTTACCCTCGCGTCCAAACACTTCGTAAATTTAAATTTTCTTTACTGCTTTACCGTTGATAACATTTACAATAAGTAAAATAAAATGTTTTAAACTATTTACACCGAATCAAACATCGGATCAAGATTTGGGAAAGAGCTGAAAAACGGCAGCGTTTAAGGGTTGTAGAAACGTTTGGTTAGAGAAAAACTGACAAATCCAAATATTCCATCCAACTCCTAATTTTATATTATTTGTTTAGTTAGTTACTTCGGTGCAAAGTTCACTTCAGCCTTCAGGTACCCTCCGTGGCGCTGACTCTCTCTGGCTCTCGAGATTCCTTCAATTCCCAGAGCCGCCCTGAGCCACCGCACCTGTCATGGAACTGGCACCCGTTAACATCGCCGTTGGAACCTTCGGATTCTTCCTCATCTTTGTTCTCTCCCAATCAAATCCTTCCACGTTGTCATCACCACTCCTCCCTCCACCTTACCATGGCGCGCCTTCTGCCGTGATCCTCCCTCTCTATCCTTCTCCCAAGAATTCCTCTAGAACCTCCTCCATCTCTCCTCGTCACCTCCTCAGATCTGATTCTCACTCTTCCCATCCAAATGCTCGCATGAGACTCGACGACGATCTTGTCCTCAACGGGTAAAATATCATCACATTATTGATTTTTGATCTTTATTTTTCCCTTTTTCTTTCAACTGATATTTTATAGGATTCGAAATTTCGAAGGTATTACACTGCGCTGCTTTGGATCGGAACACCTCCACAGCAATTTGCTCTTATAGTGGATACCGGAAGTACTGTGACGTACGTTCCTTGCGCCACTTGCGAACTATGTGGTAGGCATCAGGTAATGTTAAAATTTCTTTCGACCTTTTCAAATTCGAAGTTTCATTCGTGATTTTTTTCCTGATTGTTTTCAAACAGATATATAATAATTAGCTTGGAAGTAGCTTTACATTTTAGTTTGCTGCTTTTATTTTTTGTTAAATATGAATTTCCCTTCATAATCTGTGTTTTATAGCGATGCAGCTCTAATAAATTTCAGTGAAAGGTTTAGTTATGTTGGTTTTGAAAAATCTTATTTAGGTGGTTAAGCGAGTAGGTTTTCTAACTTCCCTTTCTCAGGATCCGAAGTTTCAGCCTGATCTGTCCAGTACTTACCAACCTGTAAAGTGCACTTTGGATTGCAATTGTGACGCTGACAGGGAGCAATGCATTTATGAGAGACAGTATGCTGAAATGAGTAGCAGTAGTGGTGTACTTGGTGAGGATTTCATGTCCTTCGGGAATCAAAGTGAACTTGTGCCTCAGCGCGCGGTTTTTGGTTGTGAAAATGAGGAAACTGGCGACCTTTACAGTCAACATGCTGATGGCATTATGGGATTGGGTCGTGGTGATCTCAGTGTTGTTGATCAACTTGTTGAGAAAGGTGTGATCAGTGATTCTTTCTCATTATGTTATGGAGGGATGGATATTGGTGGGGGCGCTATGGTTCTTGGAGGCATATCTGCTCCATCAGACATGGTCTTTAGTTATTCAGATCCTGTTCGGAGGTATGTTTTTGTAGACAATTTTATCTCCAAGATAGAATATGTCACCAACTTCCTAAAATACATTCAATACATCTGACACATTTACTCTAGTTTCGGGATGGCAACAGTCCATATTACAACATTGATTTGAAAGAGATACATGTTGCGGGGAAGCAGCTACAACTGAACCCGAGTGTCTTTGATGGAAAGTATGGAACTGTTTTGGACAGTGGTACAACATATGCGTATCTACCGGAAGTAGCATTTTTGGCATTTAAAGAAGCTGTAAGATTCAATTGCCATTAATGAATCATATTTTGTTAATGTTTTAGCAGACCTATTAATCTGTTCTTAGTGGACCCTCTTCGTGTCCAAGCTGAGTGATTTGTGTAGTTTAAATGACTTAAACTTTTCTTCCTTAATGCTGTAGTATGGAGGATCCGTTAAGTTTTATTCTAACAATTGTACTATTTATCTGGAATTTTATGCATGGTTGTAGGGGCATGAGATAGCTACATGTCCAACAGGTTTACATTTAACAGTCAAACTCGGCACTTTCATTTTTATTGTGTTTTTGTCCTTTTCTATTACAATTCAGTTTTGCATCTTTCTATCGCAGATCTTTAAAGAACTTAATAGCCTGAAGCAGGTCCGTGGCCCTGATCCAAATTACAATGATATATGCTTCTCTACTGCTAGCAGGTATTACTTACACTGTGTACAGTATACCATAATAGAAACCCTAAACAGTTTTTAATTATTTATTGTGAAAACTTAATTATCTTTGCTGTGATATTTAACAGTTTGTTTTTCTGCATCAGTGATGTCTCTGAACTCTCAAAAACATTTCCAACAGTTGAAATGGTATTTGGCCATCAGCAAAAATTATCGCTATCACCTGAGAATTACTTGTTTCAGGTAAGCTTTTCATACATTAATTGCTTTTTCTGTTAATTGAACTTCTTTCTCTCTTGAGATATTCTTCTTAAGGTTAATACGTGAAGTTGGTTTAGGAAGAGTTGTATTTGAGCTGAAATGTGTTTTCTACTTGTATCTTATATTTTCATATAGCATTCAAAGATCCACGGTGCATATTGCCTTGGTATCTTCCAAAATGAAAAGGATCCAACAACCCTTCTAGGAGGTACGTTAATTTTCATATAACTTGTGTTTCATGATGTTATTCCTGTTAAAGTAGCAACTTCTTTGGCGAAGATTGACCAAACGTCTCCAATTTGAAATCCAAAGCTTTATTTTGATGCCATGAAAGTTCTTAGACCGTTGTTCAAAACTAACCATATGTTTGTAATAGGAATCATTGTACGTAATACTCTAGTTACTTATGACCGCGAACATTCAAAAATTGGTTTCTGGAAGACTAATTGTTCTGAGCTATGGGAACGTCTGCACATGCCTGGTGCGCCATCACCATCTCCATCTTCACGTGGGAAGGGTAATTCAATTGAGTCGCCAACTACATTAGCTCCTGGTGGGTCACCACACTATGATCTTCCAGGTACATATAAACCATGGTTTTCTGAGGATCATATGTGGTTTTTATTTTATTTGAACCCATTAAAGGACTAGAACTCTGTTCTGCTTTTTATTTCTTTGAAAAGAATGAACAATCAATACTTTATCAGTTTTGCTTTCCATGTGAAATTTCGTACTACACCATCAATGTCATGTTTCGTTTTCTCTGTCTTGTGTAAAACCCGTATCTAGAATGTCTTTCAGTGGAATTCATTCTGATGACATTTCCTTGTTTAACAGAGGAAACTCAGATTGGTAAAATTAAATTGGACGTGTCATTCAGCACCAACTACTCATACCTAAAGCTTCAGATCAACAAACTGACTGAGGTCATTGCTAAGGAGTTAGATGTTAATGCTTCACAGGTTCACCAAATACTTTCTTTGAATTTTAAACTATCATACCGAACAGTTGATGTTTTGTCTATGGTTTCAAATAATTTTTTTCTTTTTTGGATTATTCCAGGTCAATTTATTGAATTTTACATCCGAAGGAACTGGTTCTCTTGTCAGATTGACCATCACCCCTCCAGGATCATCAACTTACATTTCTCATGAGAGTGCAACAGTGAGTATACTTCTAGCTAATTGCAGTGCTTTTGATACAACGTTACAGCTTTTTGCTTGACGAATTTCATCTTCCAGAATATAATTTCTCGACTTGCTGAACACCGTTTGAGGCTTCCTGATACTTTTGGAAATTATCAATTGGTGCAATGGAAGGTTGAGCCTTCCGTGAAACGGTATGTTTCCCTATTCTAATGTCCTGTTTTTTGTCATAGTTTGTCATTCTCTCTATCTATATAACGGTATTGAACCCTATAGGCTGCAGCCTTATGTCACCTGAAAAAGATACCTTTGCTACTCTCAAAATTCATAAATGCTCAAAATTTCTGTCTATTTACGTTTGGATATGATAATTAGGGGCGAGTGTTCAATCGAGTCAAGTCATAAAATTTCGAGTTGTCCGAGTTGACAAGTCCTATTTTAACTTGAAAAGTAATCCACTAATTACTAAAAATTATCAGTTATTCTAGTTCTATTTTACAACTTTATTCAAATTTGAAACTTTTTCCAGTTGAGTCGAGTAAAAAAGATCAATTTTTCGAGTCAAGTTGAGTTTTGCTCACCTTTAATGATAGTAGTTCATTGGCTCTGATATAATGAATTAGTTCATGCATAAAAGCCTGTACACTATAAACGTAAAGCGAAATAAGTACCCACGTTAGATATTATTCATGTATTTTAGCCGTATTTGGTATGTACATGATACAGGTGTACTCGGTCTTTATCCAACTTTCTTTATATGTTTGATACCCATGTCACACACAAGTATCACAAGGATATGTAGGGAAAAATACGGAGATTAGATGACAGGTCACGATACGCTAATTAGGCGATGGAAATGATACAGGACATGGTGGCAGCGTAACTATATGGCAGTTGTTGTGGCCGTCATCATAATAATAGTGGTCGGATTATCAGTTTATGGAGTTTGGGGTATGTGGGGACGGAGAGAACAAACGTTGAATACGTATAAACCTGTTGGTGCAGTCGTTCCGGAGCAAGAACTTCAGCCACTATAGTCTTTCAAACCTCCGTTTCGGTTTTGGTTATTATCCAGGTTTGGGATATGGCTTCTGAATCGATACAGTTTTATGGTTGAAAACGATTTTCTTTTTTTCCCCTTCATTATTTCAAAGATGGAAAGTATACAAAAGAATTCTTCAATTAAATGCCAAACTGAATCAGATAAAAAGGGAGAAACTCATTAATCAATAAACATGAATCCGTAAATGCTCATTAATCAATATATATATATATATATGTGTGTGTGTGTGTGGTTTTGGTTTACAATGTTTTATCTTTTTTTCACCTTTTCCATCTCGCAAATTTTTCAATGTACTTTAGGGTATAGTTTGAGGCCAACCTAATTAAAATTTTGGGTTTCGATTTAACTAGTTGAATTGATAGAAGTTATGTTGAATAAATATTAGGGTCCATCTGATTTATTGTTATTGGCTTTCTGGAAAGTAATTTACCTAAAATAAATTATATTTCTTCAAAAACAGCTTTGGATGATTAAGTTATGTTGACTAAATATTAGGATCCGTTGGTTTTCTAAAAAATAATTTACACAAAATAGCATACTTCTTGAAAAATAACTTTGCATGATGTGAATCTCTTTTCCACTTGATAAATTTTAGAAAGGTTATACATATTTATTACAAAAATTTAATGTTATTATCTTTTAAATATTTGAATAATTTAATCAGGATTATTTGTCAATATTATTTTTATAATTTTATAAATTAAAATATTAATCTTAATATATTTTATTAAATTAATAAATATTATTAATTACTAATCAAAATATAAATATTATATAACTGTAATATTAAAAACTAGAATATTAGAAAAAGAATATTTTATATTATAAAAATTAAATATAATGTCATATATTATTATTATTATATAAAAATATAATATTATTAAAATTATTAATAAATATATTTTAAAAATTATAATAATTACTAGGTTTATTAAAACAATACTAACATATTATTTAATAATCCCCCTTTTCATAAAATAAAAAAAGAAATAAAATAATATTATATTCAAGCTAAATCAACCTACCAGAATTAAAGAGTTAAGTAGCCCAACTCAAAATGTCGAAAGATCAAAAGGATTACGTTGTAACATGCGGTATATCTTGAAAATAAAATGGGGAAACGAAAAGGAAAAGGAAAATTAAATGTATTAAACTCTCAGACAAAGTTACTGAGACGAATGAAAGTAAATGAGAAAGCCCACAGCTTTTCAACAGCCTTAACACAGGGAATGGCAACCACGATATTATAATAAACATTAAACAGCGATTGTCTTACCCCAAATAAGTACGGTTCTGATTTCCTCTCCCGGGGAATGGGTTACCGAGTCCGGATCCTGCTGCTTTCTGCTGCCCTGACTTGTGCAAAGTAAGGATGGGCCTGCAAACGAAAGGATGCTTTATTCGGACTCGAGTATAATTGTTGGATTTTTTAGGCTTTTTTTCCCTGTAGCCTTGGAGGAGGATCATACCCAATATTTATATTCGGATATTGGTTGCTATATCATATCCATTTCACATTTATATATCAATATAGAGAGATGTTCATGAAGGGAGAAAAAAACTAGAAGAAAGAGGAAAGAATATAGACTTACCATAGCTTCTCTGGCAGTTAACCTGTCCTGATGGTCATACCGAAGCAACTTATCAAGAAAATCAATTGCCTGAAAATCAGAACACCCAAAGAATTAATATCACTTGGCATTTAGCTTTGACAGGGCTCGCATTTTTCTGATTTCGTAGATGTTTGTCGAAAGAAGAAAATGACCTCCGGGGAAACGAGGTGCTGATTATCTGCATTAATGAATTTGGACGAGGGTTTGCGGCTGTGCCTGATAAACAACATATTAATACATTAATGGATTAATACCAACCGTTCCACATTAGTTCAGGGGTTACCATCATCATCTACGCAAGGAACTGCAGGCTTCGCAGATGCATTGATATGGTTCGATGCAATCGGAACATTTGTTTATAACTAAGTACAAACTTGAATCCTGAATAAGTTCGGGTTTAATGTACCTTCCAACAAGGGCATCAACTTGAGGATCTAGCTCCAAATGGTATTTGTTGAGATAAGAATGTAACTCATCCGTTCCGAGCACCTGAATTTATATTATAGCAGTCAAAAGGTTTGTGATATCCACGAAAACTGGAAATACTTTATTAGAAGGCCAAATTTTTTAAAAGATAAAAGTGGTGAAAATAGAACTGGTTTGACAGTGTATGTAGAGATGCCCCTGATACATATCCCCCATCAAATGAAAGTCGCAAAGGTTCAAATGCTTAACTCAAAACCTTAAAGGTTAATGCAGCAAGTCAGCAACTATAAAGAATAGTGGGCGGATAAACGACACTAAGGTGCAGAAATGGTTACGAATTGATGTTCCTGATATAGGATTTTAAAAGCAAGATTGATAATATGAGATGGCTAAGCTGATAAGATACATGGATAGAGGCTAATACATTATCCCAGCAGAAGTCGGAAAATGATGGATTATATTAAGCAAAACTAATACTCTGAACCTATAACAACAAAAGGAAAGGCAGATGCATTCTTGAATGAGTCTATTAGTGGTTACTCAAAAGAATATTAAATGTAGTACCTATCTAATTTCCCCTACCTGGGATCATTAAATTTGTGATAAATTTTGTATCGTTACGACTGTAGTACAAACCAAATTCAGTTTTCAAGGAAAGCCAACTCTAGGTACAAGCACAGAAAGCGTACTACAAATTAACCCCAAAAGAAATTTATTTTCTTTCAGACATGGACTAATATTTAAGCTCATTGTTTTTCAATGTTTTGCCATTTTGAAGGAATGACACTCTTTAAAATTAGTCGTATTATTCGTGAAGTCTTCGAAACATTACCTAGAAGCCACACGGACATTATACTCTTTGCCAGGATGGTAAAATTCAGCAAGTCCCCAATCTATCAAGCGAAGTTTGCGCAGCTCATGATCTATCATGACATTGTGAGGCTTGACATCTCTGTGCATTATTCCTTGTGAATGACAGTAATCTAACGCCTACAAAGCAAAGAAATATTTTCCTATCATCCTCTGATGCAAACATACAAACTAGAAATCCTCAAAAAGCTTAAAAAAGATAAGTCAATAATGGGAAATCAACAAGAAATGACCAAGACTAGAAACAATCACCAAACAAATACCATGATGGAGTTCATATATGAGTAATCACCATACATACGAGTAACTGCATAATGTTACCTTGAGGAGCTCATATATGTAGTAGCGAATATCATAGTCCGTCAAAGTAGGATAGAGAACTTTGAAATCCGTACTATTGACATGCTCGAATATCAAGCTAGGTGTTTTGGAGTGATGATCCCTTACAATATCAAGAAGCTTAACAATATTCGGCCCACCACATAGATTCTGAAGGATTTTTATCTCTCTCTTAATCTGCCAACAATAATAATAGCAAATATTACATTTATAAATTTCAAGAATATACCTTAAGTTTTATCTCGTATATATCTACTGGAAAATTATTCAAATCTCATAGATATAATTAAGTACTAACCTTCTTTTTCTTAACAGGCTTGAGGATCTTGATTATACAGCGTTCATTGTTATTGGCATTTATGCCTTCAAAGACCTCACTGTATTTTCCCCTTCCAACTTTCCGAACAACCTCGTAGTCATCTTGATCACTAAAACAGAATACAGTAAAACAAAAACATTAAAAAAGAAATTCCAATTCACACCGATAACAAACCGAATTGAACAGTTAACATTAGGATTACATCTAAAAAGCTACAGAAGTGCTTAAGATTGGAAGATCTAGTTAATTGAAGTTAATTACAGATTCTTTAATTCGTATCAGCTGATCTAAAAAGTAGTCAAGTATGGTGTGGACTGTGGAGTATAAACGATAAGATTGAAGGAGCTAATTCAAAGAGTTTACCCCCATTGAACAGTGAGGGACTCGTAATCCCAGTACTCCTTAGGACGAAGGACGTTGACGTCAGCATAAACGCGAGCTTTGGACATGATTTGACAGCGGTTGGAATCGGAGATCCCTTCGATCTAACGGTTATTGAAACGATCCCCGCCGAAGGAGAGGTGGTAAGCGACGCTGGCGCAGACTAGCAAGAGACGGAGATAAACTGGACAGCTGGTGGTGCGGCTGACAAATTCCATGCATACAAGAGAAGGCGGTTTTGGCAAAGGAGGTTTTGGCTTTTGAGAAAATGGGAGGGGATGAGTTTTAGGCCATTTTAGCTAGCTACGAGCTTAATTGTGCTAAAGACGTTGAAAAGATTATATGATAGACCCGAATTTAATTTTTAAAATCCAAAAAAGCACCCAAAACTAAATTATTTTTATTAAATAAATAAATAAACTGATCTCTCTCGAACAATTTCATTTTTTTAGAAAATTGAAAGTTCAGTTTTAAATTTAAAAATATATTCTGATTAATTTATTTTATTAAAAAACATATTTTAAATTATTAATTTCAAATTTAGACAAAAATTAAGTTTCTTTTTTAAAATTTAGGGAGCTGAGCTGGGGATTGGACTCTTTGTAGAAATATCGGTGGGGATTCTCATACGGCGAGTTAAAGGTGGGGGCTGTAAGAGGAGAATCTGATGACGTGGCAGAGTATTATTGGATTAGGGGAAAATATTCTCGAGATTTTTGTTGGATTATCACATCACAAGAAGATACAAATATATATTCATGCGTGATGAATAGGGATAGATATTGAACTCAAATTTGATGGATTTTAATTACATTTATATTTGATGGATTTTAATTATATTTAAATTTGATAAGATTGATATTTTTAAAATGGTTTAATATAAAAATAAGTGTTTAATTTTTTCTTCATTTAAGTATTTAAATATTTTTACGATCAATCAAGTGTCTAACGTTATAAACATTACTATTTTAAGTATATGATTGTAGTGACAGTTAAAAAGTTCCGTCAAGTGACATATGTCACATTTATATAATTTTATTTCTTTTAAAAATAAAAAATCAAAACTAAAAAAAAACTTTTCTCAAACTTTTAAAAAACAAAACAAAGCTTTGAAAACTCTAATTTCAATCTCTATATTCATATGCCGACAGCTCGCTCTTTGCCATTGACCGAGCTTATCACAATTGTGCCTCCATCCGACAAAGAGCCACCAGCGAATCAACCAATGACCGACTGTCGTTTCAATTCCCTAAAATTTTAAACTTAAATCCTTAAAATACAACTTTCATGTTCATCAAGGAAAAAAATGCAAAAGGTTTGACTAAAAGAAAAGAAAAGAAAAGAAAAGAAAAGAAAAAACAGTCATGGTAGATTATCAGATATTAATAAAAGAGAAAACTCAATACATAATAAATTTATTATAATAATACAAAAAAAAACCCTTCAAGCATGCACCCAAGCAGTGGCAAATACAGCATCATGTCCTTTCCAAGTAAGAACAAGATCATCTTCTTCTTTCTTCAATCGCCATCCAGCTATATGTTTATCAAGCATTGTCCTCACTTCCGAAACCGCTTCTTCCCTGAAACCAACTCCTCTAAACTCCGCATTCCGCATCCGCTGTACCCACCGGCTCTTCGAATCCACTCTATCGACCCTCTGCAAACCTTCGTTAGCTATAACATTCTCTACCTTCCAACATATATCAGGTTCATACAATTCCCTTTCCTTGCTTCTCTTTGGCAGAAACGTATCCATTGTGTCGTAAGGTATCCATAGATAATTGAATGCAGACCTCAATCTGCACACCACATTATTTGATGTTAAATCGGCATCTTCGTCTACAAGAACAACAATCGTCGGGTTTAATCCACGAAGCGCCTTGAGAAACATTGATCGATTCGAACCGTAGAAGGTGTAAAGGATGGAGTTTGAATTAGGCAAAGGAGATAGAGTTTCTTCTGGTATGAAATGAAGCATCATGTGGCAATTGATAACTAGAGCCTCACCGGTTTCCACATATACTAGATGTTGAAGACGGAGTTGATCAATCAAGGAAGCGAATCCATCGGCGTGAATTGAAGGGACGACCCTAAATTCCAGCATCACATTGCGTGACCGAGTAAAGTTAACCACCTAGGACCCTAACTCTTCATACGTAAGATCAAGCATTGGGGGGAAATCTATTGGAACACCAGTGATAGAAAACTCAATTACTATGAAAAACATATCATTGTTGTTGATCGTGTGTACAAGACTATGCATGTCTTTATATACAATCAATGTATAACTGCTATACCAGCTATACCAGAAAGGCAGTTACATTTCAACTAACTAACTAAGCAAGACTATATATGCTACATGCTCGAGCATGCTTATGATGTAGTCCACCCAATATGCTCCCTGCTCCTTCCATCTTCAACTTCTTTTAACGAAACAACTCCCAACCTTTGTCTGAACACATTGAAGTAATCTTTTGACAATGCCTTAGTGAAACCATCTGCTACCTGATGTGAAGATGGTACATAGTTCACCTTCAATTTGTTTGCTGCCACCTTATCTCTCACGAAATGCACATCCAACTCCACATGCTTAGTTTTAGCATGGTAAATTGGATTATCACTCATAGATATGGCACTAGAGTTATCACACCATATAACAGGTGTGCCTTGTAGCTCAATCCCCATACTATCAAGCAATGCATCTACCCACGTTGCATCAGAAGACACATCAGCCAAACTCCTATACTCTGCTTCAGTTGTGGACCTAGACACAGTCTTTTGTTTCTTGGAACTCCATACGATTAGATTGCCAGCAAGATACAAACAATTACCTGAGATTGATCTCCTGTTATCCATGCTTCCTGCCCAATCAGCATCTGCAAATGCAGTAATCTGTAATGGTGAGTCATTTCGAGACAAAACAAGTCCATGATCCAAGGTGCCATTCAAGTATCTAAGTACTCTTTTCACAGCAGACAAGTGTTGCTCACACGGTGCATGCATAAACTGAGCTAATATATTAACACTATATGCTATGTCTGGCCTTGTGTGACATGCATACAATAACGAGCCTACAAGACTTCTGTACTCCTTTGGATCAACAAGAGGACTGCCAGCTTCTTTGGTCAGCTTGAGGGATGAGACCATTGATGTGGGCATCGGAGTGGCTTTTCTCATCTGCACTCTATCTAGCAATTCCATGATGTACTTCTTTTGACTCATAAAAATGCTATCACCCACATATTTGACCTCAATTCCAAGAAAGAAGTTGAGTTATCCCAAGTCCTTGAGAGAAAATTTCTCACCAAGCAAGCTGACTACTTCTTCAACTTTGCACACCAAATTTCCAGTAACAATTATATCATCCACATATACCAAGACATAAACTACAAATTTTTCTCTTCTCATTACAAATAATGAACAATCTGCAAGTGACACTTCAAAGCCAATATGTACCAAATGTTTCTTCAGCTTAACATACCAATTTCGAGGAGCTTGCCTCAATCCATACAAGGCTCGATTTAGCTTACACACTAAGGGAGTTCCATCTGAGTCCACTTCTTCAAATCCTTGGGGTTGTTGCATATAAACTTCTTCCTGCAAATCTCCATTTAAAAAAGCATTATTTATGTCTACCTGCCTCAAGCACCACTATTTTTGAACAGCTACAACAAGTATCCCATTAATTGTGGATGACTTTGCTACTGGACTGAATGTATTCTGAAAATTTTGTTCAGGAATTTGAGAAAAACCCCTGGCCACCAATCTGGCTTTGTATCTTTGCAACGTGCCATCAATATTCTGTTTTATCCTAAACAACCATTTACATCCAACTGGAATTCTGCCTTCAGGTAATCTTACCAGGGTCCATGTGTTATTCCTGACCAAGGCATCATACTCCTCTTGAACAGATAGATGCCTTCCACTTATCAGACTGAAGTGCAGCTTGAATCGAATGTGGCTCTTCTTCCTCACCATCCTGCATACAGATACACTTTAGGTTTGAATATACCTCTCTTGCTTCTAGTTATCATGTGATGACTAGGTGCAACCTTGGAACTCACAACATCTTCTGAGTCTGATTGTGTCAACCCTTGTTGCTCATCTACTGCAACATTTTCATCATGTGCATATTGCTCAATTCCAGCTCCTTCAATATCACTATCAACTGTGTCATGACGAGCCGAGTTAACATTTCCATCTCCAGCAGACTGGTTCATCAACTCAGAATCTCGAACTGAATTGCTTCTAGGTGATGGAACATGAATATGATTTTCACCTATGTTCATGTAATCATCAGCTCGAGCACACACTCTATGAGCATCATTGATAAGTGTCAGCTTTCGAGGTGACATCTGACCTGTCTTAGTTGTTTTGTCACTGCTTCCTGCAAAAGGAAAACAAGATTCATCAAAAACTACATGCCTTGAGATGTAGATTTTCCCACTTGGTGCAAGACATTGATATCCCTTATGATGAGCGCTATAACCAAGGAACGTGCATGGTTGAGACCTAAAGTCTAGCTTATGTTGCTGAAACATTCAAAGATGTGGGAAACACATGCACCCAAAAACACGCACACCACTGTAATCTGGTAGCTTATTGTAAAGGGCTTCAAATGGTGATTTTCCATCCAGAACCTTGGTGGGCATTCGATTAATAAGGTACACAGCTATACTTACAGCATATGACCAGAACCTTAAAGGTAAAGAAGCTTGTGCCATTAAGACCAGTGCTGATTCAATAACATGCCGGTGTTTTCGTTCAACAACACTGTTTTGTTCTGAGGTGTGAGGACAGGTTAATCGGTGATGAACTCCCATACTTGCCAATATTGCTGTGAATGGTCTGTACTCTCCACCCCAGTCAGTTTGCAGTTCCTTTATTTCTGTCTCAAACTGAGTCTTAACAAATGCATGAAACAAGTGGAAAGCATGCATTGTTTGATTCTTGTTCTTAAGTAAATATACCCAGCAGTGCCTTGTACATGCATCTACAAAAGACACATAATAGCTGAAACCATTTGAAGTTATGTAAGAGGGTCCCCATAGGTCAGAAAAACTAACTGAAAAGGTTTGTCATACACTGTTTTAGACTCATGAAACGGTATTTTATGGCTCTTCCCCATTCTACAAGCTACACAAACATTTGTACTCTCTTTATTTATCGAGGGAGCAATATTGACTCCAATTTGTTTACAAATTTGCACCAATGATGCATGAGAAGGATGCCCAAGCCTTTGATGCCACAAATCATACAAGTTTATGCTAGTAGCTACATTTACTATCATTGAGTTTGATTTCTTATCACAAGATACATTATCAGCAGCAAAAT